TAGATCGTACAACTTTACATTCCCTTACTGATGTCTCTTAAATTTTTCGTTATCGGTTGACTCGAATGATGGATATGTTGAACACACTCGTCAATTCTCGACCTGTTTGATTTATGTATCCGAATACTTATTCCTCTGGTGTTATTTGTTATTGTGGCGTCGGTGGCCTAGTGGTTAGGCTGTCGGACTCGCAACCGTAACGTCGAGGGTTCGAATCCGGTCAGGGGCCCGACGTTGTGTCCTTGGGAAAGGCACTTTACACGAATTTTCCTCACTTCACCCAGGTGGGAATGGGTACCCAGATATAGACAGCGAAAGATCTTGTCAGTTGGTTAGTGTTTGAGCGCTTAATCGGCTGCTTGCACTGTATGCTTCCCGGGAAGCTGAAAATGTTTCGGAGTGTTCTATGGTCTGCTGGGGTAATAATATAGTGTAAAGCACATAGAGCCTGCTGTTGAGCGGGGATATGCGCTATACAAATGCTATTTTTTAAAATTATTATTATTATTATTATTATTATTATTATTATTATTATTATTATTATTATTATTATTATTATTATTTGCTCCTTCTTTCCTATCAAACATCTATCGTCCTCATTTCTCTTTCTTTTTTGTGTTTTTTACTGTCTTGTAACACCTCCAACCTGTGGCCTGTAGATCTATATAACCTAATAGTGTTGCAAATGCCGTAAAAGCTTACTAAAACAAAAAAGTCATGCGAAGAACTCCACAACAAAGATATTGTTTTTACTAAATTATACTCTCCTTGTATGAAGGATTTCCATGCGTACCTATATATATATATATATATATATATATATATATATATATATATATATATATATATATATATATATATATATATATATATATATATATATATATATATATATATATATATATAAATATGCGCGCTCCTACGGGGGCGGGTATTTAAGATTAAAAAAGTGCAGGAGAACACCGCAGGGGGCCCTGTATTATTCAGATGACCTTTCTGAGTTGAAAGCAAAAGAGGGATGTGAGCGCGTACTCTAGAGAGTTTTTTTTTGGGGACCGAGGTTGGGGGGGGGGGGGGGGGGGGCTGAATTGTTGTATACTGTTCTAGAATGCTTTAGCCCCAGCCTGGTTTATAAATAACAAAGGACTTGGATATAATCCATCCACTTTGTAATGACCTAGAAATGGCGTCTAACTTTTCTTCGAACAAAACTTTTGCAATTTATTTAGATAACAGGTGAGATGCGTCATGTATTCAGTAAAACAAAAGTTAATCAAATTTAAGGATATTGAAGACATTTATTTTCCTCATAGGTGATGGAAGTTTAAGGTAACATGAATGTTGTGAGATGAGGAAGTGGGAATTGGTTTTTTTAAAAAGTGCATTTTACAAAAGTCGTCTAACTATTTGCATACAGAATATAGTAGTAGTAGTAGTATAAATTGGTCAGTCCCAAAAAACGAGGGCATGCAAAAACAAAAGTCTGTATATAAATGAATAAAATGGTAACTACTATAATAATAACTATTATTATAGTAATGATGATGATAATGTAATGATAAAAGTAATAATGATAATGAGATTTATGGAAATGGTGTAATAATAATGGTAATAATATCAACAATAACGGTCATGAAACTAATGCTGAAGATAATGATACAAAAAAGTAGCAATAGTAAAATTACTGGTACCTACTGATATACAGGTGATAACTCTTTATGAGCGAAGGTCTTGCAGCATTCAAAAAAGGAGTAAATTTAATTGTAAGATTGTTTTGTTTTTTTATAAATATTTTTTTTATTAATAAAAGACACAAGTTTGTAACATGTCTGTCTGTTTGTTGTTGTTGTTTGTTTTGGTTTTTTTGTGTTTTTTTGGGGGGGTGGTTAAATTAAAAAAAATTTTTTTTTAAACCACAAGGACAGAGCTATGGAGGCTATGGTAACAGAGAACGTTCTCGAAACAACAACAAAAAAAACAACATACAAACAAACCCGAAGTCTCTTTCATGACGTTAGCCGTCTATGAAAACAGAAGAAAACCTTTACATGTGATATAATGTATTATTGTTTTCTTTTTATGGTCTGTGAAGCTTTGCTGCAAGCTGATGCCTTATGCAGATATTAGTAAATGAGGAAATCCCCTTGGAACCATACCCGTAAAAGAAACGTGCAAATAACGCAGATTAGTATACTAAAAAAAAATACAAAGTAGTGTTATAAATTTGTTCAAGGACGCTTTCAAATTTCGTTAATGTGCTTTGTTTATTTATTATTTCCACAGTAGTAAGGATATATCAAAGAACACAAAAAAGTACATTTAACCACAAAAACGATTTATAGGTAAAAGGTAGAAAGATCAAAACAACTTTACGTTCAAAATAACAACACAAAATTGAGAAAGATGAGAGCTTGTTAGAGAAGACGAATATGCGCCTATTTCACAAGAACAATGTACAGGTACATAAAATTGAAGAGGACATCGATTTTGTCAAACATCGTATACATGTACATGTATTTGTGTATGTCACATTTTTTAAAACAATATTGCTGACGTGTAACCTTTAATTTAAACCAATTATTACACATTTTGTATGGTGTTGGGTTTTAATTACAATCTGCTAACAACGGCAACGTGATACTCAGGAAACTAAATACGACATGCTCAACACAAGGTGTCTCCAAACTAATTTCATCGAAACCTAAAGTTTTACGTATATTTTCCACATTTTTATTACATGTACCAAACAGGAGCACAATTCTAGCATTAGTGAAAGAACCGTCACTAAGTAAGTTATATAATATATTAGGTTGTTTTCTTAACATGTTGAAACAATTCCTTGTGCTCACCTGATTAAAATGAAGAAAATCTTGCAATTCGTTTTTAAAAAAAAGACAACACCATTTAAATCATGCTTCTGTTAATTAATTAATGATAAAGCAGGTACCGTTAATACACGGAGACATTAACAACACAAATTATGATTCTCAAGTCGCTGTGGGATGGAAAAAATTCACGAGGCCAGCCGGATGAGGCCGTAAAGGCTACAACTTGAGTACATCAGGAATACAGTCGACGCACAGATGTATTAAGTTGATGAATACGGCACAAAACAGCGTCAACATTTGCCCGACACGCCAGCGGCGCTAAGACACACAATAGGTTTTAAAAGAGAAAGAGAGAAAAAAACCTCTACAAAACAACAACAACAACAACAGATGAATTGAAAAATACAAAACAAACAACCGGTTCTTCTACATGGTTGCCGGTCAGGGCACTAAAGCTGTGGACTCTATGTACAGGAGTTGCATCGCTACGGAGTGATCACAGAAATACAGGCCTTGATTAATGGAAAAAATAGTGCCGGAGCATTGGAAATGTGCGACATTTACGTCTCGTAAAAACGGGGGAAACCCCTCCAAGCAAAACAGTTTTCAATAACGTAAAGAATACTTCACCCCC